ACTGCGACATCACGGACGTAATTTCGCCACACGGTCTGCCCACACACCAGAAGCAATCCTATCGCGCGATACCGCCAATCATGCCGCTCACCAGCGACAAGCCGCGTCTATTACACCAGCATGATTTTGCGCTCCTCAGTGGCACGGCGCCACGCAAACGCACTTGCCACCAAGGCCGCACAACTCCGCATGGCACTGCGACATTCACGGATGTAATTCGCCACACGGTCTGCCCACACAATAGAAGCAATCCTATCACACGATACCGCCAATCATCCCGCTCACCAGCGAAACGCCGCGTTTACACCAGCATGTTTCCCGCTCCCCAGTGGCACGGCGCCGCGCAAACGCACTTTCCACCAAGGCCACGCAAATCCGCGTGGCACTGCGACATCACGAACGTATTTTCGCCACACGTTCTGCCCACACACTACAAACAATCATATCACACGATACCGCCAATCATCCCGCTCACCAGCGACGCGCTGCGCATGTTTCGCGCTCCCCGGTGGCACGGCGCCGCGCAAACGCACTTTCCGCCAAGGCCGCGCAAATCCGCATGGCACTGCGACATCACGAGGCGGTGCACATCCCTGGTCAGCATCTCGTGGCAGATTTTCTGACCAAACCGATTGGAGTGGCAGCTCGATGGCAGCACTTCTTTGCGGCGATGGGGATGAAGCCTGTGGTGGAAGCTTCTTCTGAGGGCTTAGGGTCCAAAGTTGCCAGATTAGCGAGGGGTTTTGACCTGGCGACCGTCGGGGTCTACCGGTATAGGGCGGCTCAAGGCCTGGCCGTGGCGGCGATGGTAGCTAGCTTAGCCACCTGCTGGAAAGCCGGCTGTGATTCGAGAGAGAGAGCCACTGGGCCACCAAGAGGCGATTATGCAGATCCACCGTACGGACAACAACACCAGGTGAGGGAAGATGAACCCACCTGCACTGCACTGGAGGTGATGGGTCAGAAGGAGAACCGGTCTCAGAACCTAGCCCTGGGGGCTCCCGGGATTTTGCGGTAGAGGCGGCACTTGGAACTGGGCCTTCGTCGGCAGTGGGGTTTTCATCTACCAGCGATGGGAACAGACCTTGGACTTGGAGGCGGTTCACCTTGCCTTCACAGGGCCGAGATCGATGGGATCGTTTTTTTGGAGGATGGTGGGTCCGGGAGCGGCATCATGTACGGCAGCGGGAGAGGCCGTTTCATCCTGTCCATCGACAGACTCCCTTTGATTGCAGCCAGATCCAAGACCGACGGATCACGGTGATTTGGTGCCATGGGGAGCGAACGATTCGAGACGATGACTGGCGAACGACGACCAGCCACCGGTGAGGGATGCCTGGGTGGTATACCTTCTTTCGGGAGATCCAGACGGAGGCGACGGCAGGTACATTGAATTCGACGCCCAGTTCATCGACTACCAAGGGCCAAGGGGATCGAACGTCGTCCTCAATGAGCAGTCCTGTGACATCTGGGCCACCGCCAATGCCGGGCATTGCGGAGCATGGTCAACCATCGGAAGAGCTGCTCCGGGAGGTGCGTTATGTTCGAGGAAGGGCCGAATCGGATTCTCTGGGAACCACATCGGACCGGAGTTCAATGATGACTGAAGGTGGGATCAGCGCGTTGGGGGGCTATGAGCAGCGACTACGTGGCCATCTACACTGAGGAGAAATGGAAGGTTCCGTGATCTCTGCTAAGCCACGAGATTTGCCTTATGTGGATGAAGATCAAGGCTACGACCCGGCTACCTACTGGGCACAAGGTCCAAGTGGACATGACGGCACCACTCAGAGCGATGATGAACGCGATGACTGGCTGGCCATTATGCGGGACATGACGGGTGAAGCCGAGCGAGCGGACTGGAGGAGATCACTGGCAAGTGAGACTGATGATGAACCGCCATCCTTGGACGGAATGACAGCACGGGGTTGGAGAATTGCGCAAAACACTTTAGCTCCGCCTCGCGGAGAAGATTATCGTGGCCCTGATCATGAGGTGCAAGAGCCTGAAGGTCGTGAAGAAGAGACACCAACATGGATGGGCATCATGACGCAAGCGCCAGTGAGGCCTCAATCTATGAGCCCTTGGGAGCCGCGGCGCGGTTTTTCTGGAACCTCAAGGGTTCGTGAAGACTCGTCCGAGTCAGAGGACAGTTTTTTCGAGGTCAGCCAGCGGTAGACGAAAAAACCTACCAATGGCGCTCGGGTGGCTTTGAGAAAGCTAGGTGGAGTGTGAGTCGCATTCCGCTCGATTGCATTCCACTCGATTGCATAAATCGAGAAGTGTACTACGTTTTTTGGCCCAAGAAAAACAAGCCCGACGTGCTGGGCATTTGCGCGCGTTTCATAACCACAGATTCGAACCTCTTCACCGTTGCGCTTGCACGGCGAGAAATGCACCAAGGTTGGCGCTCCTGACCCACAACATTGCGCTGCCGTTGCATCTGCGCATCTACGTCTACACACCCTCACCTCTGTACATTTGCATCTTCACACGCTCACATCCGCAGATCTACCTCTCTACCTCCACACATCTGCACATCTATATCACACCTGCACATCCACACTGTCACTCCTTCACATCCGCCCTCTCTTTCTCTCTTTCTACATATCTTTTCTCTCAATAGTACTTTAATCTTAATTTATTCTTCACAACTTCTTACTCAATAACAGATTGTATAAAGAAGTCATGGTTCTTGGACAACTCGATTTTAACTATTTCCTTACTTGGAATTGCTTGACAATCACCTTTCTCGCTCTCGGGCCAACGGTCGTCTAGTTGTGTTTTTTGAAGTCCGAAGATCGCCAAGTTGCCGTTGCGAGGCCGAAGGGGTGTCGCGCAGACTTGCTTGAGTTTTCTTAATAAACAGTTCTAGAGTTTGCAGGCAGTTGAGCGTTGGGCTGTGGCAGGTTATTGCAATCTTGCTGACGAAACGGGAGTCAGACCCTAAGAAGACAGACTGTGCAAATGGACAATAGCGATTCAAAAACGCACATCTGCTGAGGCTGTGCCTCTACCTGATTCACACAGATGGATGGGTAGGTGCGAAATCTAGTTGCGTAACGTTACATATGTGTCTCCTGCTGCTGGCAGTCTTACGCGCGAACTGTGGCTGTGAAGTTTTGGCCTGGTTTGGAAGTGGGAGCGGGCGCCCCCCACTCCTGTATCCGGGGGCGCGGCTGGGGAGGGAAGAAACGCCTTTGCGCAGGTCATGCCCCAGGCATGTTGGACGAAAGCCAGCTCTTTTGCTGAGAGCAACATGAAAGCAGCAGCAGCAGGTTTGCGGGGGCAGGAGGAGGTGGAGGAGTTGGAGCAGTACGAGCACAGGCGTTCTTGGCGCACGGCCGAACAAAGGATTGAGGATTGCCATCGGTTGGAGGAGGAGTCAGCTCGTTTCAAACGGCCAGGCCGCTGAGGACTGAAGCGCGGTTGGTGTATCATCTCTGATTGCAAATTGTCAGTTCAAGGCCCCATTCGCTCGCATTGTGAAATGGACATTGCAGTTTGGGGGGCGGCTTTGCTGAAAGGCCTCATGCCTCTTCGATTGCGCGCGAGTGATGCATGGTGATCGCGACAAGGTGAGCCTGCGGATTGGGCGGGGCAAAGCATTCTACTACGCACGCGGAGAGCAATTTCACTTCGAGCGGCCACTGGCTGCAGCTTGGAGCGACCGCCAGTGGGTCTCAGGGCTTGGCTTTGGCCAAGCCGCGTGTTCACCAAAAGTTTCATTGATATCAGAGCTGAGGGCGCCGCTTCCCTTTCACAGCGGCGCGCGCCAGATCTGCAAGCGGCTTCCTGGGTCAAGAGGCCATCAAACCTTCTCTTTCGCGGCGCGCCCGCGAAACTAATCTACGTGACCCAGTTACCAGGGATATGCGCAGGCCTAAGGCCTAGCGGAAGCAATTTCTCAACCACAAAGCTTCCATCCCCAGTGTTTTAGAGCTCATAATCTGGGCCTGCCCCCTTGCATGGGCCATCTGCACCTGGCAACAGAAGCTAGCAGCGCACAGGGAGGGAAACTAGTGTGGTAGATTCACCCTCATACTCATCGCGTTTGCGCGCGTCCACCACCAAGCTTGCTACGGCAAAATCATCGATATCGATATCATTGAGAATATGACAATGACAGAAAAGGGCGGAAGGAAGGGCAAGACTACGTTTAACGAGGCTGGCAGAAGCCGTGCCACTTGAAACCAGCCAGGCCGCAGCAACACAGAAACCATCTACAACATGTGTACATGATGTGGATCACGTTTGGCTTGAAAAAGATGCACATCATATGGCATTGTTGACGCAACAAGCTGATACCCAACAACGCAATGGAAGCAGCAGTAAGAGCTCGCCATCTCCTCAATGGCCGAGAGAGTGAGTGAGTGAGTGAGTGCGTGCGTGCGTGCGTGCGTGCGTGCGTGAGTGAGTGAGTGAGTGAGTGAGTGAGTGAGTGAGTGAGCGAGCGAGTGAGTGAGTGCGTGCGTGCGTGGTTGCGTGAGTGAGTGAGTGAGTGAGGGAGGGAGGGAGGGAGTGAGTGAGTGAGTGACTGTGTGTGCGTGTGTGCACGCGCGCGTGCACAGAATAGGCGTGAGTTGCTTGGCTACGAGCGCCGCTTGTTCATCCTGCGCTCTTCCACAGACCTCGGGCAAACACGCCCGTTGCCAACGCGTGCAGATTAGGAACATCCCGCTTGCGTGGAACGCGCTGCGATTGCCTCTTTTCCAAGAATGTCCGGCGCTACATCGCGCGGAAGCAGCTCGCAATCCTCGACGCGCGATTCACGCAAGCCCTGCGTGTCACAAGCCACCGCATCGCGAAAGAAAGAAGCAGCGAAGCGCTCGTGAAATCTGCTCGACCAGGAAAAGGTTTCAGCGAAACCTTTCTCGAAGCTTGAGGAGCATTTCCGCCAAAGATACTCCATAAAGGTCCATATCTGTGACTCTCAATGAGAAAGGTCAGGGTGTTTCGGATTGACGCTCCACCAATCCGGATCGCCTGGAACGTGGTTAGGTTCAGAAAATGCATTGTTGATGATGTAGATCCCTCCGCGGGGGGAAGACGCGGAGAAGTCAAAACTCTGATAGCTGCAAAGATTGGCGGCCTGAAGCGCATGCGTGCAAGTGCTGCTCAAGACTTGCGGATGATGCTGGTCAAAGCCCCAAGTAGGAAGCGCGATCCGACGCCTAGGAACTAGCAGGAACCATAATTTCGTGGGCAGGTCCGCAGAGGTTCATCCCAACCGAAGTTAAAGGTGTTCATACCCCTTCTGGCCAGAAGCCCTCACGCGAAAATAAGGAGGTGGACTTAGCTTTGAGGGAGAGCTACTAAAGCTCCAGAGGTGGATGAGCAGAGCAAGTGGAGCACAAAGGCAGGATGTGGAGAAAGGTTTGCCAAGCCTAGTTTTCTTCCGCATGCTCCTCCAGCCTTGATGAGTCAAACAAACAGCAGCGCGTGAGAAGAACGTTGCTCGCGGGAGGGCGGCATACAAGGGCCCAAGAAGTTCCAAGGTCACTAATTCAGCATTCAAGTTCATCGGACCCAAACCTTTAGTGATTGAGCGCAGCCGCTTTTGAAGAACCTTGGATAGCAAGGGTTCAGTGTGCAAAGCGATGTGTAGAATTGGACATCATACATTCTCAAAGTGGTCTTTGCTGCAGGCCAACCAAGCAGGAGCTAAAAAACCAAAATTATGTTTCAACCAACAAATTCGAACTTCATGGAGACTTGATGAATTTGATATGCGTTTTTTTGCGTTTGCATTGCAAGTGCCCTTGGCAGGTGCGCGGGGGAAGTTGTGATCATAGGGAGTTCGTCTTTGGTGGTCACTCCGGCAGGTTGGCTAGGCGTTGGAAATTTTTTACGGGGCTGACACCTAAAGAAGGTACAGTCCACCATGTTGGCTGTGAAAAACTATTCGGTTTGTTTTGCCGCACACTCAATTTTGCATGTTTTGTCTGTTCCACGACGGAAGGGGCCGTGTGAAAAGATTTTGCAACCCTTTGTGGCAACAGAGGAAAATGTTGGTTGCTATTTTGTTGGCACAGGATCAAGCCTTAAAAAGTCAAGACACTTCCACGTGGAAGATATTCACGCACATTGGCTGGATCATGCAGACATCGCGACAGGTGAATGCCACATTGGTCTCGGGCGGCGCAGGGGTCACAGTTTGTGCACAATGTCCACCTCAAAATTAGCCTTTCAGAAACAAACTCCTGTGAGGCGGTCCTGATCCACTCATTGTCGGAGCCTCAATTAGCGGATTCTAGTTGAGACATTGAAGGATTGCACTGTAAAGCAGCCAGGTATCCTTCGGCACAATGTGCCGTTGGCCAAATCGTCGAAGATCTAGAGCAGGCATACGTTGGGAAAAGCAAACTGACGAAGTTTGGCAATCAAATTCCTTGGCCCACAGGCGTGACTCAGTTGGATCTTGTTTCCTAAACGTTTATTATTTGTGTTGAGGTGCTACAGGTTTAAAATGTGGCTATTTTACTCTGAGAGATTGACAATCTGCATCAATTTGCAGCTCCATTTGTTTCACAGTTAATGTGGCGTTTGACGTGTTCGATTGGTTTGGGCAAAGTTTCCAAGCCTTCGTTGCGCAGCTAAAGGTGCAATGTGATGAAAGGCAATCGCCTTACTTCTCTGCAGGTGTTCAAAAAAATGTTTATTTATGTCCACATCTTTCAGTTTTACATTGCATTCTGACATGTTTGCCTTGCAGTATTGGTTTTAAGCCATCCGAAACTGTTCTACAATGGTTTGCTTCGTCCAGCAAATACAGAACAGTCCGACAGTAGACAAGCTACCCCCTTGTTACTCTTCAGTGGGTTTCTCGAGGGTCTTTAGCCACTCAGTCTTCCTGCAGTTTGCCGTTCTGACATCCCATGATGTCGCAAGTAGGGTGACATTGCTGAGAGGGATCCAAATGTCACACCTCGATTGTTAGTTTCTGGTCTCCTAGATACCCAAAATCAGCTTCAAACAGAGATTTTTACCGCCCCATTGCCTTTGCGACAGATTGCGCAATTCCGGGTGTTGGCTAACTGGTGGTCATCGCAATTGGTCAGATTTGATCGCTTTGACATGTTGATTGTACAAACTCTGATGAACGAGTGGTTTGCAAAGACATGTCGAAGTCCAAACGTGCTGACTCCAATCAATACACTCGGATTTTGACTGAATGCCCTTCGGTTCACACTGCTGCTGTGCACACGAATGCTTCTCACAAACCCCTGAACATAATACAGTATAACGCCCCCAAAACGGAGCCTTCACAAGATGGATTCAAAACAAGACCTCAAACGACTGAATAAGTTTCCTTGGGGTTGCAACAGCTGTTCAACCGCACTCCGAAAAAGCCATGGAAACGGGGACGCAAGGAAAAAGGGCAGGAAAGCACAAGGACGGAGGATGAATCGAAGGAGAGAAGGAAGGAGGAACGATGAGTAGATGGAAAGAAAGAAGAAAGAGTGGAAGAGAGGAGCAATAAGGAAAGCTAGAAAACAGAATTGAATACAAAAGCGTACATAGGTTTGGCACGTGTTTGCTTAGCACCTCACCTACTTGGGCATAGACATAGCATTTAATATTTATAGTTATTTATCATCATTTGGTACGCAAATCTGTGTGCATCCTTTAAAGCAGAAGACAGAAAAGGCAAATTAGCCCTGCGACGGTTGGTAGCCTCTCTCCTTTGGCTTATGGTAGGAGGCTGGGATTATGGGGATTTTTAAGGATTTTGCCGTGAAGAAATCTTTAAGGAATTAAGGGATTGGAGAATCTTAGGGCTTGTATTGAACAAACAATTCCCTCGAATTTTAAGCCCCGAATTTCAAAGAAATTGAATTCTTCATCCGAAATCTTTGAATAAACCTTTTCAATAATGTAAAATATTATTATAAATTTCAAAAAAAAAATCTTAAAGATCTTAAATC